GTTGAAATGGAAACACAGGACTAAAACAGGACAGAGATGTCCAAGTAAAAACTGAGTACATGCATATGCATCTCGACCGCTTGTGACACCGTCTGTGATGCAGCAAAATTAGAGCAGAAAACAAATCAGTGAATTGAGGTCTCAACAGTTTGGCTGCTGGCTGCAATTCTTCTTTCAACAACAGCCTAAATGATGCTCTATAAAAGATTAAAGCTTATTTTTTCTGGGTGTGAGTGAAGCAGCAACAGCAATAGAAAACTGGTGCCTTTTGTGGTCGTCACTTTAGTTCATAAAGTTCATAAGGTGATTATATATATGTCCCTCACAGCAAGGTTTGGGTTACTTAGTACTTTGGGTATTCTGGTTTCATCTCATAGTCCAAGCACATGCATGTTGAGGTAACCGTGTTTGTTCACTCTGTAACAGATTGGTAACGTGTCCATTGGCTGTTGGCCTAGGACCTCCATCCTCACCACGCTGGCAACGAGTCAAAGAGGAACAAAAATAAGAGCACATTGAACTGAACTGCACTGAAATGGAACAAAGCCAAGAGATGAGGTAGCCACTGCATTACTGAGTTCAGTATATACTGTATATTACATGCTGACGGTCCCGCCGCATCGTGAATTGAGCACTCAGCCGGGAAAGATTTCTCATATAGTTCTCAGAGAATCAGGTCTCTGCACTCCTCCCCCGTTTCTTCCTCTCTGTTCTCCCTGACTTACCCCACCAGCCCAGCCCCCTTAACCTCCAAAGGCTTTGTGTTTGATGTATCTTTAGAAACAGCCCTGCCACTGCTATATTTAGGTCTGAGAGAAGCGCAGGAGAAGCCCAGAATAGCAGGCGAAAAGAGGTGGGGAGGGTATGTCTATGGTAAAAAATGAGGGTGACATCGACCAGGGGCTTTAAATAGGGCTGTGACGCCTTAAACAGCTTGAGGCAGTCACCATGGGAACAGCAGGAGGAGGCATGCTCGGGTTGCGATGTGCCCATTTATCTAAGTATCTGGACAGAGAAGCGTGCACACACACACAAACACACACACACACAGACACACACACACACACACAAAACTGTCTTTGCAGGTCTTCTAGAGAAAGACAATCACACTGGGACCTGACATGTTTTCCGTCCTGCTTAAGAAACAACCCTTCAAAAAAAGGCATCATCCTTACTAGTACTCATGTGTGCATGTGCAGAGACAGAAATGACAAAAGACAGAAGGAGAGAGTCGTAGAACATATAAGCCTACCTTCTATGGCGTGGAGATGCGTACATGTGACGTATCCCACCACCCTCTGCTCTTGGTGTGAGGTGCCCACGTGAACCTGTTGGGGAGGGGGGCAGGACCAGAGACAAACATGTCACTCCACCGTGTTCAAACAGGCAGCATCAAAGCCCATTTAACGAGTGTGTTTGTATATGAGAAACAAGCCAGGTAACAACCGCAGCAATTAGATCATACAAGGCAAGGTGCAACTTTATTGATCCCCGTGGGAAAACGGAGTCATTACGCTGTAATTCGATCACTGCACTTAGGATGTGCAACATGACAGCAGTGCGACAGAGAGCCCATGAAAACCTAAGGAAGGCATCATTGTGTATCATCATGAAATATTGGTGCATTTCATGGATATAACAGAAATGTGAGATTATAATTCATTGATTATAAGATCTGCAAGCCTAATAAAACAGTATGTAACAGTTGCATGATGGAATAATGATGAAAGAACCGCAGTTATGATCATATCTCTCTTATTTGGCATGTAGTGCACCACTGCCGTTTCAATCATTCAGAAAAGAAGAAGAACGACTGCCTCTTACCAGGGAGGCAGTCACCTAATCTAACGTCAAGGCAATTTTTCAGAAACTATATGATGTGACATTTCTCAAAAAATGTTGGCATTATAATGTTTTTAATACAGCTTCTCCATTTGGATGATTAAAAACAAGAATAATAACCTCAAGAGTATACATATATATATACATATATATATACATACAGTGTTGGGGAGTAACGGAATACATGTACCGCCGTTACGTATTTAAAATACAAAATATGAGTAACTGTATTCCGTTACAGTTACCGTTTAAAAAGGTGGTATTTAGAATACAGTTACTTTGTTGAAATAAATGGATTACACGGCGGTACTTCCCTGTTTCATGTTGTCGCGGGTCAGGACTGTTTGGGTTTTGTTTGACAGCTACGTTCTGTTGTTCCAGGCGGCAGCGTTACGGTTGCCATGGTTACAGGGTGACGCTCTCTCTCTGCGTGTTTCCTGGGTGAGAGAGGCCTTTTTGTTGTTGTTGTGCTAAGCTAATAGGCAGAATGCTACAGGTATAGCTCTAAAGAATGTAGCATCATGGGCAGTGTAGTCCGTGCTGCAGGGAGAATGGACTGCCATACCGTTATGTGTCTGTGAGCGAGGGAGGGAGAAAAAGGAAAAGTACGAGCTGTCATCGAGCAAAAACGGGAGCTGGAAGCATGTAAATATAATAATAACCACTGCAGCCAAGAAGAGAGCCTGACGAGCCCAGTTGTAAGTAAGCTATTAAGACTCGACTGTACACCGTGTTCGTGTTTTCCTCCAAAAACAATAAGTTCTGTTGGAGCAGCCTTTCAACGCCTCTCTCTGTCTCTGCTAGCAAAGTTGACCCAGACAACAAAGTAAAGCTAGTTTTCGGCTACGAGCCCGACACAGAACCCACCGTATTAGCCAGAGGTCCCTTTACTACGGTTCGGAGCCGCGGACCTTCAGTAACAGTAATAAATCACAGCAATAGTACATTCATGTAGTTGTAAACAGCATGATAATATATTAAGTAATCCAAAGTATTCAGAATACGTTACTCTCATTGAGTAACGTAACAGAATACGTTACAGAATACATTTTGAGGCATGTAATCTGTAATCTGTAATAGAAGACATTTTAAAAGTAACCTTCCCAACACTGTGTATATATATATATATATATTTGGATCTACTTTTGATACTTTTGAAACACATTTTGTAGTTTCTGAAAATGCATATTTAGCCACCCAGCCCTAACCCTACTAACCCTAAACACATGTCTGGTTCCCTAGTGGATGTTAAAAGGTTAGCTGATAATCAATGGTGCTAATGATTAGTGCTTGAGCACACCCTTCTGGTTATTCATGGTTATATCAGACAGTTTATAAGAGAAAGACATGACGCTCACATAAACCTCAGCAGAGGTCTATGAAACAGTTCTGTAATGGAAAAGATTGCTGCTGTTCCACCTGGACTCAAAGAGCCAAAGACGCCGTTGCTCTGATATCTGACACAGTTTCACCTGTGTGGTGTTTGAAGCAAGTAGATGTTATTCATTTTATTTCCAGTTATGTAGGCGATCCATTACATTACATAACCCAAAATGGCTTTTTCATAGTTGTTTTTCAGATGAGCCAGAAGCCGCATTGAGGTTGGCACGCCACATTGAGTCATTAATGAAGCCGTTACATAAAAGAAACAAATTTGTATGTTCAATAAGAAGCTCTGCAATCACTCATCTGCCTGCTTTGCTGTGTGTTTAGTCCTCTAGTCTGTTCTTTACATCACGTCCTCTTTTCCACGCTGTCAAACTCAATACTGACATCATTACTCAAGTCCAATCATTTTCTTGCCTGTGTTCTGTGAGCCAATCAGCCTCTGATGTGCTTTAATGTGAGCGCTCTCTTCTCATTCTGCCTTTCAGACTCTAATTCTCCTCCCCATCTCTGCCTCATCCTGGTCCCATTGAAGCCTCCACCTTCATCATCATCACCAACATCAGCACCTAGACTCGGGGGGGTCCTGTCCTCATTCCTCTCACTGCTGGGATAGGAATTAGACTCCACTGTGCTACGATGGTTCATTAAAGTTTTACCTCCTAACAGCTTATCAGCTGAATTCTGCATCCCAATAAATCATTTTCCAAATTACCTCTCCTTATTCAATTACGAACATCTGTAGTAATATGTAACCAGCAGTTTAACTAATAAGCTAACTTTGCTTTACTTGACAACCATCCCAATGTTTGTAAAAGGATTTCATTTCATAAAGGCTAGCGAGTAATTTTATTGGCTAAACTTACCCAAAGAGTGAATGAAAATTACATTTTAAAGTGGTGCCACACCCGTGGACTTCATGATGGATGAGCAGAGGATGGAGGATATAACAGTTTAGAGCCAGGACTTGTTGCTTATGAGTGTGAAGAAAATGAAACGTATATGTAGCAAATACAAACTCATATTATAATTGTGTACGTGACTAAAAACTAACTGGACTGCAAAGTGAGCCTGTTTTAAAGCGCTCCTCTTTCCGTCCAGAGGTTATGCTCTGATAGCTGATCTAATTGCAGGCTTCTGCAGTTGGAGCTTTAGCATGTATTTCTCTGCAGCTGACTGATGTTGCTAAAAAAAGCTGAGACTCGATGAGCATTGCTTGAAACCCGCGGTCTACTGTGAGTCTTGTTGGCTCGACTACATCCGGATCCACTATTTATCTCTTGTGTTCAGTTTCAGACTTAGAGTGGTGCAAACATGAGTGGGTTGGGTCATAAATATACTGTAGGTTCAACTGACGCTGACGCTTTTGTCTCAGTATACGTCAGAAAAACCAACAAAAAGAAATATGCTTTTAAGGAACTGTGGAGCCTTACGTCCTAAATTTAATCTAAAGTTTTGATTCATTTAGCAGCCAAACAACATGTGGCATTCGGTCTACAATGGAAATGAATCATTGTTTGGAAAGTTCTTTACAACACTGTTGAGACGCTGCCACAAATGTGTTGCACTTGTTGGATGCTTTGTTTTCACCCTTCTGTTCAGTTCATCTTGGAATACAATT